TCTCTAATAATTTATCTAGAATAGGAATAAGGTTTGAGGTTGAGGTTGTAACTACATTCAGACACCTGTAGAACTTCGTCGTAGCACCTGGCTAGGCATCTTCGCCGAATTGTTTTGCTGGCTCAGGTCATCTACTTGTAAACGTGACAGTGGTCTTCTTAGAAGTCAGAATCATTCAGCTCTCAGACAAATGACAACTTCGAGACTACATGGTTTAGTGCTGTGTGTTTGAGCCGGCCATGTTTCATCATGCCCATAGCCGCTCCCGGTCCCCACGCAGCCGAAACTGCTTGTGGGTGCATCGGAAGAATAAGAAGGCTATCCCCATAGCCGTCAATCAGCTGGAAGAACCCAGACTTGCCATGAGTGTCGTGGAAGCCGCGAAAAAGAAGATGGAATTGACCATCGCGACCGATAGTTTGTCATTGTTCACAGATTCAACCTGCTCACAACCAATACATGATACCACTCCAGTTGACGATATTCGTGGTGGTACATACGAAGCACCACTGTTCATTCACTATGACGAAGCCGATGCACTGAAGGCGCCTGGTTCGAAAATTTTTGTATACATAGGCCGCTCTAAGCTTTTTGTGCCAGTTGAAATTTCCTTGCTGGTTTCCGCGCTTGGAGGGTTTTGTCTACGGCTTTTGGGTATATAAGTGCTGCTGGGATGTAAGGAGTGTGCTTAGTCTTTCGGTTCACATGGCTGAAAAACGGAGGATTTAGCTCCTGCTCTCCAGCAGATTGCCGCGGACCAGAAAGCCATTCGCGAGAAGCAGGAAGCCATGAGCGAGAAGCAGGAAGCCATTCGCGAGAAGCAGGAAGCCATGAGCGAGAAGCAGGAAGCCATGAGCGAGAAGCAGGAAGCCATGAGCGAGAAGCAGGATGCCATCGCTAATGACAGCCAGATGGCAGTGCGTGTGATGCTGACTCCCAAACTGGGTACTACGCATGTTCGTGACTCTTCCTTCAGACAGCTGGTCTATCAGCACCAAGCTGATTACGTGGCCAAGAACGGGTGCATCGTTCTAAGCCAGAAATTTCCGGAAACAGCCAAGAGCATGGGGTTTGGCCCGACGATCGCAGACCACATTCTCCCGCCCAACGAGACTGCAATGTTCCATGAGCTGAAAATGGTCCGAGATGACCCACAAAATGGCCTGCCATTGCTGGATCACATCGAAAAGCTGTATGGCAGGGGCTTAATCTCGTTTATGCCGGTATCCAGCCAAGGACCGCGCATGCAGCTGCAGATGCTGGTTGCGCAAAGCATACAAGATGAGTACCTGCAGTGTGACGTGCGCAGCAAGCCTCCTTCATGGGTTCAAGTGCATCACTTGGAAGCGATACCGTGGCAGACGTATCCGTCTTGTGTGATGCTCGGCGCTTTGCATGGCTTTTGTTTCTATGTCAATAAAATCTTCTTGCGCAGCCTTTTCTTAAGGGCAAATGCTGTGCACAAGATCAGCCCAGACTTGCCAGACCCAAGTGCCACTCCGGAGAAGTTTGAAGAGTGCCCTTCTCTGAAGGCGAAACTAGGCGCATTCTTTGCCAGCCAGGAGGAAGGTGCGCAAAGCATCGACCCCCCAGACCCCGAGCGAGACTCATCGAATGCGAGTTGAAAGACATCCGTGCACAAGGCTTCTGTAAAACCCAGGAACATGGCAAAAGTCTAAAGCGCGTGTGCAACGAAACGCTGGAGAGAGATGCATAGCGCACAGAAAGACAAGCCGGCAAGCTAAACTAGAGCTAAGTACAAGTTGTTTACAAGCAACGCGAAGAAACAGAGTTGTAGCAGGAGTTTAAGGGCGGTCGGGGCAGATTTGTGCAGTGGTCCGGATAGAAAACATCATGTTCCGAGTGGAATTTGTTCAAACTGGCTGGGTAGATTTTGAAAATATTCCGAGCGGAATTTTGTTCAGTGGGCAGGGTGGAATTTTAAATTATTCCGAGTGGAATTTGTTCAGCGTCGGGGTGGAATTTGCAAGTGTTATGGGGTGATGCTTTTTTGGGTTTAAGACGGCTTGAAAAGCCACCCTCAAACTTTTAACAGCTCAAAACGCAAATACTGCCTAGTATTGCCCTCAACTCTGTAATAATTT